CTTTAACATAATTAATTCTTATACCATTTGTCTTTGGCTTTTTAGCATATATAAAGCGTGTGATTGCCCACCCCAACTTCCACAACATCAGTTTCAACCAGGCAGAGAAGATGATGGAGACCCTGGATCAGGGTGACTTAATTATTAGGCCCAGTAGCAAGGGAGAAAACCACCTCACAGTCACCTGGAAGGTAAGAAAATGAGCACTGCAGAAGGGTTAAAACTTTGGTTGATTGAAAATAACAAATGTAATAAAATGCTTCTTGCTTAAAATGCTGTGTCCAAGCATTTTAAGCAAGACCTGGCAGTAAGATGCGACAAAGACTTAAATCATATTTTTTGGTATCAAATGCTCCACTCTGACTAAATACAGTGTTTTATAGGTGGCTGATGGCATCTACCAGCATGTTGATGTGAGAGAAGAAGGCAAAGAGAATGCTTTCAGCTTAGGACACACTCTCTGGATCAACAATGAGGTGAGCTGGTTTTGTTGTTGTTGGGGGGGTTTTTTGGGGGGGAGGGGGGTTGTTGAAGTGTTGCTTACAGAGTTTTTTTGATTCACTGCAGGAGTTTGAAGATCTGGATGAAATTACTGCTCGGTACATTCAGCCAATGGCGTCATTTGCCCGGGATCTGCTGGGGCATAAGTACTTCCAGGAGTGCAACGGGGGAAACAGGGAGGTATGTATATTGAGTTTTTTGTGTGACATTGTTCTTATAATTGAGTTGTGAGCTGTTTGTTTGTTTTGTCTTGGCTTGCACATCTTATCTTGCTGATCCTGTTCTTTATCTGTCAGAAAATGGAAGAGTTGCTGATCCGGACAAAGAGGGAGAAGCCCACCTTCATCCCTTACTTTATTTCAGCATGCAAAGATCTACCAGGAAAATTCATCCTGGGCTACCAACCACGTGGAAAACCACGGTAAGCGGAAATGTTTGTTTCCTACTTTCATGAAAGACAATGTGAAGTCGGATGTATAAATGTGGTACAAATATACATTTCTTTATTTATTGAAAGGTTTCTGGTTGGTTAACAGGAAGGTTGTCCTTCATGTGAAATGCTTTATTTTTTATCCTCTCCATAGGATTGAGTATGTGACTATTACTCCAGATGGATTCCGCTACCGTTCACAGATTTTTCCTACGGTGAATGGGCTTTTCCGGTGGTTTAAGGACCATTATCAGGAGCCTGTGCCAGGTATGAAAGTGCTATAACTATACATTATAAAATATATCACAGCTCCTAAAATACATTATACGTGATTGTTTAAACATTTTTCCTTCATTCAAGGCATCACTCCCAGTAACAGCAGCCGAACAAGGACACCTGCCTCCCTGAACGCTACCCCAGCCAATATTAACATTGCAGGTGAGCCCCGCGGTCTTCCCCCAATTTATTAATCTAGATTTTCAATTTAGGCTCTATTAATTTTACAGTTTTCTGCTGTATTCCCTCCTTTCTCACTAGACTTGACACGAGCTGTCAACGCCCTCCCACGCAACATGACATCTCAGATGTTCAATGCCATCGCCGCAGTCACGGGCCAGGGTCAGAACCCTAACACCACACCTGCACAGTGGGGCTCCAGCCAGTACGGCTACGGTGGCAGCACAGGAGGTGGAGGGAGTTCGTCTGCCTATCATGTGAGGACAGCTTTCTTGTTTTTAAAAGAGGAGAGGATGTTTTGGGGATTGTGATTACTCCCAACAGACTGTTGGGAGTTGTTCACGGTGTCCACTAGAGATAAATTGGGTTCTGTGGAAATGGTAAATACCAGCTTGTGATGGTGCAGTTC